TTACTGACCTAACATCACACCTGAAATCAAAGTCGACGTTATAGGACTGGCTAGTTAGCTCAGGTGGTTAGAGCACAGTGTCATAACCCCATGGTCAGGGTTTAGATCCTTGTACCAACCAGCCACAAAGAAAAAATTAATCAATATTATAAATATGGAAACTATTCCAGTTCTTTCCATAGAGGTGGGTTTACTATCATCTTTCATAAGATACTATAATTCTAGCAATGTTCACGTTGAAGCTCTATTGCATGCCTCTTCAAAATGTAGCCATATAGGGCTGGCCATTTAGCTCACTTGGGAGAGCCTGGTGTCAATAACACCAAAGTCAAGAGTTCGGATCCCTGTACTGACCAGCTGCCAGAAAGAAAAGAATAAAAAAGTAGCCGTACAAAATAAATCTAAATAAAATGGCCTCTTAGCTAGCTCCCTATTGCAGCTAAGATTTAACACACGTAAACTGTTTAATATGTGAACTCTGACCAGTCAGCTAGCCAATCTATTAAGCATCACTTTTTCATAAAACCGTCAATCGACAAACATGTCCAGCCTTTTTTTTTTTTTTTTTTTTTTAAATGAATTACTTTATTTCTAGTGCAATCCTTCTAATCCAGCTTTTGGTAGATTTCTAATCCTAAGAAATATCAGTAAAGCATATCTATCAACCAGGATTAATCTGAAAACTTGCCAAACATTTCTTTTTAAAGGAAAATACTAGCTCTTTCACTGAAATGGTTATTTCTTATGCTTATCCATATTAAACTGAAGAAATAGTTACATAACATTTTCCCCTTTACCAAGGTTTGCATTTGCACATTCAGTATGATGGTTTGGGTAGTCTGCCCCTTTTTTTTTTTTTTTTTAACAAAAAACAAAAATTAAGAAATATACGTTTTATTGCTTAAACTCAATTTTCCCCTTTACCAAGGTTTGCATTTGCACATTCAGTATGATGGTTTGGGTAGTCTGCCCTTTTTTTTTTTTTTTTTAACAAAAAACAAAAATTAAGAAATATACGTTTTATTGCTTAAACTCGGTTGTTCAGAGGCTTGCCCATCCCCTCACCTGAGCTTCCGCAGCCTCCACCCCTCTGTCTTCTCCTGCCCATTCATCAGGGTGCATCTGAATATTAGCTGTGAGACAGGGTGACAGCCTTTCCAAGGGTTTATATCTGGATGTAACTTGCACCAGCATCTGTGACAGTCCATGAACCCATATTTATAATGATTTGTATACTGTCCATCCTCCCCACAAGACTGGAAGCTTCATGAAGGAAAACACTGTTTTGCTCACCCCAATATCTTCAGAGCTTAAGGACAGGGCTTGGCCCAAAAAGAGAATCAATAAAAGTCTCCCTAATGAATATATGAAGGGATTAATCAACTCAAATTCTACACTTGCTCATTCTTTGATTATTTCAGAACCTCACTTGCACCTGGCTCTAAAACAGGCACAGGCAATAGAAAACTGAAGACAAAGACCCTACCCATTCACTTAGGCCTGAAGAGAAACTGTCTGTCTGGGAGGGGACAGGTGCAGAGAGGCATGTAAACAAATAATGTACATACAAAGACAGCCTCTATTCCCCACACCTGGGATACAAACCTGCCTAGCAATTTACTACCAAGAAATGCTCCATGATTATCTCATCCCATTGTTCCTTTACTCTATAAATTATAGGATGTTTACTCTATAACACTTTTACTCAGTAGCCCACTTAATCTGTACTTTCCTTCTAGTACTTAACAAATTCTAGTTTCTTTTATAATCCTGTGCACGTCAAACTTCCTGGGGGGGGGGAGGGAGAGGGGTAGTGAGGTGTATGCAAACTAAATCTTGCATTCTGGAAGCTTTACATTTAAAGTACATTTGTACAGGTTTATCTGTGCATTCATAATTGATATAACAAGGTAGAAACTTAAAAAGAAATGTATAAATGGAAGACATTTTGTAAGTATCTTAAGGTAATAAAGGTAATAAAATTTGCAGAAACAGAACGTATATTTCTATTGAATTTCATTACACTTCAGTGATAGCTGAATGGCCAGTGAAAGGCATTTAATAGCTATGTTTATTTCTAGAATGATTGACAACCTTCATACAAATATCTGTATAGAAGACTCTAGTATGCCACAAAGGGTAATATAAAATAGGGATCCTCTAGTAACAAGAATGCCTTAACCACAAAGATAGCCTCCGTTTTCCTTCCAACCAATATTCAATTGATCACATTATTTCTTTCTCATTTTTTAAAATCAGGTATTCCTAATTTAACCTTGTGATCTTGCATGTTCTTTTTCATTTCTTCGGTCAGGACCAGAAATTATTATTTCATCTAGTAACTTCTCTGCAATACTAATAGCTTTGCAAGTGCTTCAGGGGCCTCTGCTGGTTAGGGGAACAGAAGCTTTTACAGCCTGCCACTTATGGCTTCCCAATGACTAGCATTAAACAGTGATTCCTTATAGATCACCATCCAATGTGAGCTTCACTATTCAATAGGCAGGCTTCTACCTTTCGGGCAGTAGTAGTCAGTGGAAGGTTTCTATAATCTGTGAATTAGCACCACCACCAAGGCAAGATGACTGTGATTAGCTTAAACCCCCAGTATAGGAAAATAAAACTTAAGAGGAAGCAAGTCTTAATAAATAAATAAATGTCAAGGTCTGTTAAACTCATATCAATAAACTCTATCAATACGCCAGGTAAAATCAATCCAAGTAATAACGTTTCCTGCAAGCCAAGACCCCATTCTCATTGCCTTTATTCATTTTTTAGAGCCACCTGCAGCAGACCTATTTTCTAAGCTCTACAAAAGACAGTAACCTCGTAATTACATCTTTTCAGTGAACACAGATAGAAGTGGATAAATCCCCCTCAAACATTAGAGTGAATCATCTACCCTTCTACCAACACTTTGCACAACAGACTAATGTGAATCTCACCTTTGCCCTTTGAAAGAGGTGACAAAAACCTGTGGAAATGTCCAAAAGGATGCAAGAGAAAAGAAATACAAACAGGCCCCAAAATAAATTCGAATCCTATTTGCCTACATGCTCCCTCTTTTTATACAGAAAAATATACTGCTCAAGAAAGTTAAATATAGTTTTGACAAAACCTTCAAAAATAAAAGTTATCATATGCTTTTAATAAATTTGTTTTTTTTAATTTGTAGGAAAACAATTCAGGGAAAATAAAATAATCATACAAATAAATTTATCATCGGAGAAATCGGAATTCTCTTCATTAAGTACATTTTTAAAACATGGAAAACCAAATTCTTGGATTCTTAAAACTTGTCTTAACTAGCCCTAGGGTGATTCCTCAGACACTTGTGGGTATAAATCAGAAAGGAAAAAAGTTCGATGATCTTGTAAATTAGGGACTAAAAATTTGTTATGGTGTGATAGTCTGCACAGCTTCAGTGGAATCACAGGAAAACAACTGTTTGGAAATTGCTTGTTTGGAAAATTACCATGAGATAGGGGAAAAGGAGGAGGAAAAGGGGGGGAGGGGATGTTGCAAACGGTAAGATACCGAACGAGAACCCAACCAATGAGAAACACAACCTCCTCTGCCCTCGCTGTCACGCAAACAACTTCTAAGCATCTTTAGATAAAAAGAAAAATAGTGATTTTCCACAGGCATTAGCTGAACGTTCGAAGTTGGGTGAATGGAGAAGACTTGTTATACACCTAGTGGTGGGTGGCTTTCACCAGGCTGCAGCTGCCACACAGCTTTTCTTTGCTGCACTGCAGAGGCGCCATCTTCTCCGTCTTAATCTTCACTCAATTCAATCCTTTTATCTGCACCCTACAAAAAAAAGACCCTACGGACCCTCCCCATCATCCTGTGCCCCCAGTGGGACTAAACCAGAGTCCCCAGAGCTGCGAGGGAGGAGGACGCGCCTTAACCAAACACCTCCTTCGATGCCCAGGAGGGGAGAGCCCGTACCTCCCCACCACCCGTCGCTGCCCTTTCCAGACGCACACCCCACTCTGCGTATTTCTCCCCGAGGACTTTAGAGACCAGCACAGAATTAACAAGCCTCGGAGGTGATCCGGAGGTGGGAAGCAGAAAGGCCCCAGCAGCGGCCCAGCCCCCTCCCGAGCAGACGCACAGCAGCGGGAAGGGAATCGGGCGGGAGCCTGGGTGGCGCACAGACCACCGCGGCTCAGCCCACTGCGCCCCGGGCCGGCGAGGGCGGGGTGTCGCGGCTTTTGTTCCCGGGGACCTTCTCCCTCTCGGAGAGAAGCTGAAGGTGCCAACGTCCGCCCGGGACGTGCAGGTTTGAGGAAGGTGCGGGGAGGTTGTGGGTCTCCGACCCCTCCCATCTCTCGCAACTTACACAAAAGAGAGACGCGGAGATGTACAAAGTTTGCCTGCGGCAGGCGGCGCGCGACCCCGGCTAGGGTCGCACCCAGGCGGCCGCCGCCGGCAGCCGCGACGATGAAGAGGGGAGCGGCTCAGGCAAGGAAGGGGGTTGGGGGGTAAGACGGTAAGGTGAACAGGGACGGAGAAGCGAGGGGCCCCCAGCGTCTCGAACTGTCCCGACTCCTCCTCCCCAGGGCCCGAGAGGAAGGGAAGGGCTGTGATCTGCGGCCGGGCACTGGATCCAGGGACGCTGCATTTTCGCTTTTCCCCACGTGCTCCCTCTTCCTTCCCCCAATCTGAGTGTCCCTCGCCTCCCCTGGGCCCCGCTCCAGACACAAACTGAGTCAGGGTCTGAGCTCAGGGTCGTCCCCTCCCCTTCGCGCTCGGGGCTGGCGCGGACCGGGGAAGCCCTGTGCCTCGCCCGCTCCCCCTCCGCGGGCCGGAGCGCGCGTCCCCGGGGCAGGGCTGGGCCGGAGGCGGAGATGCGCAGGGAGCCCGCAAGCGGGGGCGGAGGGGAGATAGGGTCCCCTGGACCGTCCCTGGCTTCTCCGGATTCAAGGTTTGCGGGAACCGGACCCTTACCGTGCCCACCTTCCCCCCGACCCTTTCCGAGGCGTGGCACCCACCTCCAGTGCCCGAGCCGTCCAGGAGGCCAGCAGGAGCAGTGCCAAACCGGGCAGCATCGCGACTCTGCGCGGGGCACCGAGTGCGCTGCTGTACGAGTGGGATCCTCCGCGCCCTTGCTCCGTCCGTGCCGCCGCCACCGGTGGCCCCTGCGCTCGCACTGGTCCGGGTGCTCTCGCCTACCGCTGCCGAGGAAACTGACGGAGCTGGAGCGCGGCGGCGGGGCTCGGAGCCCAGAGAGTCAGCTGACCCGGCCCAGCCCGCTCGGCACCCGAGAGGGACCCCTAGCGGAGCCGCCGGGGAGCTGCGCCCGCTACGCCGGGAGGGGCCGCGGCCCCGGCGCCCACAGGTGCAGCGCCCTCGGCGCCGCCGGCACCCCGCGCGCCTCCCTGGCCGCGGCCCACCCGGGCTCCGGGAACGGTGGGAGGGGGAAGAGTCTGAGGCCAGGAGGGGGACTGCGCGGGATGAGGGAAAGGTGAGTCCTAGGACGTCTGGGCTCTAGAAAAGTCGGGAGCGCTCCCCGCTCGTTCTCGTGAGCTTGAGTCACCCGACCCCGCAGGCCTGTCTGCATGTCGTAGAAAGCCCTGCTGCCGGGGTGCGTGTTTGTCCGCATTTCTTTTTTATTGTCTCGGTGCGGGGAGGTTGGGCAGGCATTTCTGGAAGAGAATGGGAGCAAGCAAAGCTTTAAGGAAATAGGATTTCTTTGCTGGTGGAGAAAGCGAAAGCCTCATTTCTTTCCTTTTCTTTTCTTTTTTTTTTTTTTTTCTTTTTTTTTTCTGTCCAAGGCAGCTACAAGCAACCTGGAATTTCTATCTTTAGAACGAACCAAAGGAGAAAGGCGCGGGACCTGGCAAAGAAGCGGCGACCCATTTTCTACTTGAAAGGAGGGTTTTGGTTTTTTGGTTCTTTACGTTTTTTTCCATTTTAGTTTAGTCTTTGGTTTTTTTAGAGAAGCAGGTCAGCAGGGATTTTTTTCTCCACCACGATGTGACATTCATCTGAGATGGTGATGAAGTAAAGGGAGGAAAGAGATCTTGAGAGATGATTCTTATGAGACCCTCGTAGCTAAGGACTTCTGACCTCAAACTCTGTCCTTGTTCTTCATTGTGTCTCTCCTAAATTACACAAATGAACCTTCTGTGAAGCCACTTTCTCCTAGATTAAACACAAACCGTCCAATGTCCAGTTAGTATCCAGAGACTCTAGAATGGTCTAGAACTGCCCAGATGTATCCCGTGTTCTTGTTCTGAAGTGGCATCAGTCACCAGGCCACGGTCCACGTGGGGCTAGTGGGAGGGAATGAAGTCCACGCTGGCCCTGCTTAGGGCTCAGCAGCCACCTGCCTTGGACACCTAGCGCTGTGGGGTGGTGGCCCAGCGGGGGCTGCCCACTTCTTTCCCCAGAGTCAGCATTTCTCTACCAGCCGCCCTAAGTGTTGTCTTCTGTCTTGCCCTACTCTAGGCATTCAGTCCTGACCCTTGGACGACTTTTTCCTTGAATGCCCTTTAAATATCCTAAACAAATAATGACAAATATTCGCTGTCATGCAATATTTGGTTACATGCTTGATGTCATTTATTTCCTTCAGAAGCCAAAGAGGCCTTTACTATTATTATTCTTATTTATAAGTCACAAAACTGAAGCTAAGGTACTTCTTCCAAATCTGACAAGTGACACAACGTTGAAATTGCAGGGAAAAGCCAGTGTTGACCTTCCAGGCCATACTGCTTCCCAAACACATACACCACCGTTCCCTGTTTGACCCAGGTTTGTATGAGCAAAGAAGGCAAAAAAGAAGGCATCCGAATGCAAAGAGGAGTATCACTCAAAGACGGGGAGGGAGCAGGAGCACCTTACAAATTTTGCTGAGTCTGGTGCAAAACGAACACGTGGGACTCTTTGTTCCAAAATTAAGAATATTAAGATGGTGACAGCAGAACAATAAGCACGGGGCTCTTCAGAGCATGGGTCCTGTGAGACTGCCCATGAAGCCAGTCCTGCAGGGGAGGAAGCAGCTTTTAGGAGTTAGGGACTTTTGACACACACACACTCTCACACACACACACAAAAACAAACAAACAACAACATCAACAACAATAACAACAAAAAAAACCCGGGGGGGGGGGGAGAGGAAGATATAACAACCACAACTTTTTTTTTGAAGTTCTTACAACAAGAAAATGGAGGGGACACACCTGGGTGGGAGAGGGGAGAGAGAGGAGGGAGGGAGGTTTCGGTGATGGGACACAATAACTAACTACATTGTATATTGACAAAATAAAAAAAATTTTTTAAAAAAAGGAGTTAGGGACTTTTGTTAAGCATGAAATTAAAAAATATAGAGATGAGATTATAATGTATAAAAATGAAAGTTCTCAAATTTAGCAGTTTCTCTTTCTACTGTTGAAATTCAGCACACTCACATTCCCTGGTGGAGATGTCCCTGGGGGAAGATAATTAGCTGCTGATTGTGTCAGAATGATGGACATTGCCTATGGGTTCCATCACTGCTCAGAGATTCTGATGGCTTTTTACTTCTCCGCCACTACCTCTGTTCTGCACTTAATGCCATTCCCTGCCCTAAGGTATCTTCCAGATCCCCTGAGTAGGAAATACAGGAACATCCCTTGTTAGAACGTCTTTGCTGCAGTCCTACCATAGCATCCCCAAACTAGGCTTAAATGTCTGCACTTTGTGAGATGTTCACTAGCTCTTCAGACAGTGCATTCTATTTTTGGGCTGCTCTGGTTACTAGAAAGTTCTTACCCCATTTAAAGCCCATATTTCTTTCCTTTAAACTCGCACTCAGTTATTCTTATTGTACCCTCAGTGACCAAGCAGAACAATTCTTTTCTACACCAAAGATTGCACATTTGCCAGTTTTCGTGCTGCTTCTGAGTCCTCTCTTCACAAGGTAAAACGGGCACTTCTTTCAACACGTGCATAAATGGCACAGTTCTGGTTCCTTCCACACCCTGGCCACTCTACTCTAAATGTGTTCTGGTTTGTCTGTGTCTTTTTACAATATTCTGAGTGCTCTGACCACCACATCATGGAATAGTCTGTTGCCCACTTTAGTCTGCAGCCTAACACTCCATTTGATTTTTTTAGTAGCTACATCCCACAGTGGACTCAGATTGCTCACACTTGTTACAAAGTCTCCCAATTCTACTTTATTTTTGCGGGTGTGGGGGGTGGGGGTGCAGCTCTTGGGTATGGGAATCTGAACCTGTGGCCTTGGTGTTACAAGGCTGTATTCTAACCAACTGAGCTGACCAGCCAGCCCTCAATTCTATTTCATTCATGCAGCTACTGAACCACATGTCTGTCATCTTCTGTTTAGGCTATTATCCGTGTTCCATAAATAAAAAAAAATTGTGAATCTGAGCCAGAAGATGAACCCTGTATTGGTTTCCTAGGGCTGCCATAACAAAAGACCACAAACTGGTTGAACTAGACAACAGAAATATATTTCCAGGGCTGGCCGGTTGGTTCAGTTGGTTAGAGCGTGGTGCTGATAACACCCAGGTCCAGGGTTCTATCCCTATACTGGCCAGCCACCAAAAACAAACAAATGTATTTCCTCACATTTGGGGAGGCTAGAGGTTTGAGATCGAAGTGTCAGCAGGGTTGGTTTTTTCTGAGTCCTCTCCCCTTGGCTTGTACACAGCTGTCTTCTCCCTGTGACTTCACATGGCCTTCCCTCTGTGTTTTACTGTGTCCTCATCTCCCTTTCTTATGAGAATACCAGTCATATTGGACTAAGATCCACCCTAATGACATCCTTTAGCTTTAATTATCTCTTTGATCCTATTGTCAAATACAGTCACCTTCTGAGGTATTGGGGGTCGAGACTTCAACCTATGAATTTAGGGGGCGGGGTGTATAACAGGCCCTCATTTAGAGCAGCTAGGACTTCTTCTGTAATCATATCACTAATATTTGACCTTTATTACCAATGACCTTCTGCCCTTTTCAGTTTGAAGATCGTTCAGCTCAACAGAAGGAAGGTGTAATCGAAGAGCTCTGCTTTCTCTCTGCTGTGTGTCAACGTAGCATCATGATCCCCACACAGCTGTACTACCTTTCCCGTGACCGTCAAGCTCTGAAAATAAAGAAAATGGCCTTTTTCACCCTTTCTTAGTAGGTTTTATCAAAGCTTAAACATTGACATTTATGGACATTTAAACTCTATGTCAGTTTGCTAGAGTTGCCATAACAAAATAGCACAGACTGAGTGGCTTAAACAACAGAAATTTATTTTCTCACAGTTCCACAACAGTACAAGATTAAGGTGCAGGCCTCTGAGGCCCGTCTCCTTGGCTTGCGGGTGGCTGCCCTCTTGCTGTGTCCTTGCATGGTCTTTCCTCTGTGCACATGCTGATGGTGTCTCTTTCTGTATGTCCTCATCTCCTCTTCTTATAAGGACACCAATCAGATTTGAGTAGGGCCTGCCTGGATTAGAGTCTGCCAAAATGGCCTCATTTCAATTTACTTATCCCTTGAAAGGCCCTATTCAAATACAGTCACATTCCGAGGTTAGGGCTTCAACATATGAGTTTTGAGGGAACACAGTTCAGTCGATAACAGAACCGCTTTAATTATTCTCACATTTTAAACTACCCTCATATCCATCCTTGAGAGTGAATTCCTTCCACCTCTTATTTATATCTGTTTGAAATCAGAATGCTTCCTAGGTAACCAGTGTAGTGTCAAAGGACAAAAGTACACAGATTTAGTTTAAAGATCTCAGTTGGCTTTATTTGTGATTCTAGAATTGGGCAACACTTCATTCTATAAAATAGAATAAGTGTTCCAAAGACCTGGGCAAAAGAAGTTGGCTTTATCGACAGAAAAAGGACTGGAGAAAGCAGAAGCAAAAGACAAAAAGCAGATTGGTCATTTCCAAGTTGTTTTCCTTGTGAGGCAGGGATAGGGAGACAGAACAATAGAAAGATAACTGATTAGCATCAGGTTAATTCTTTTGTGTAAGGATTAAAGCAGAGGGAACTTATTATCATGACTGTTGAAGATTTTAACTGGCCCATTTGGGATATTGGCTATTATCTCTCTCTCTCTCTCTCTCTCTCTCTCTCTCTCTCTCTCTCTCCCTCTCTCTCTCCCTCCCCCTCTCCCCCCTGACCTCTTAGAAGATCAGAAAACTTAGTTTTGTTTCAGTGACTCCATTTTGATTTTTAGTCTGGTCTCCTGGAGCCTAGTGCCAAAACTGAGTCCAGGACAATGTCCTCCAATAATTTTTATTTAGCAATAGTTTCTTTAGCTGCTTCCTAGTTGAACATTTAAATTACTTGGTCATTCCAGACTTCCAATAGTATTGGGAATTACCATACCTTCTATGGAGGCGCTTTCTTGCTGGGTATTATCTGTGATGGCAGACAAAGTGATATATTTGAGAGTTTCACACACTTCTTAACCTGTCTTTTCTTACAGAACCTCACACCTGTTCCTCTTTGCAGACCACAAATAGATCCTGAGTTTCATTTTCTCTCATCTCTTCCTATTCTAAAACAGAAGGGCATTATCAATTTCTTTATCTTGGCTGCAACCTTCAATATCTACAGAAGTCTGAACTGTGAATTCAGCTTTTCATAATGAAATCCTTTCTCTCAATGATGGGTGTCATTTTTCACAAAGTAAGATTTTTTTATTTCTCTTAAATGAATAGACATAAAGAAATGCTTAAATTAATAATTAGCAATTAACATACCTACATTTAACTACACATATCTAACAGATCTGAATGTAGGCAGAGGATGTGACACTTTACTTGTCCTTTTTATTAAGTCACTCCTTCATTTATGGGTCACTGCTGCATCTATGAAGTGTTTGGATATTTTCAACCAATACCATAGTTTTAAAATTAGTTCTCTGCAATCACTACACAAAACTACTTTAAAGACAGCCTTCACCAAACAAATTATACTTTGCAAATGGGCTTAGGTATTTCAGTAGTAACTCTGTGGAACAACAAAATTGAAAGTTTAACAAGGGACCACTACTGGCAGCTGGCTTACATAACTTGTTACATAACTTGTTTGAGAAATAATGGTAATTCCAAGATTGATGCAAGGATTAATGTAAAAGGATATTCCTGTATTTTATGAAATAAAAAGGAAGAATAAGACAGGAGAAAGAAATAGGCTATATATACCAACTCCAGAGCATGAAAATCAGTTCAGGACCAGTAAGATGTAATGGGGCCATGTGAACATTACATTGGTTCTCCTCCTTAGAGAACTTTGATAACAGAGCAGCAATATGCTATGGTGGAAAAGATCTCAGGCTTTAATACCAACTCCAGAGCATGAAAATCAGTTCAGGACCAGTAAGATGTAATGGGGCCATGTGAATGAACATTACATTGGTTCTCCTCCTTAGAGAACTTTGATAACAGAGCAGCAATATGCTATGGTGGAAAAGATCTCAGGCTTTGAGAAAGCCTGACCACTACAGATTAGCTTTGGACATAGTTACAGAAGCAACCAAAGCCTCAGTTTCTGAAAAATACTACCTTTATTAAGTAGAGTGGTGAGAAATTG